GCCTTTTCATCCTTTTCTTTGACTCCAATTGAAATATTTTCTTCCATCATTCAAACAGCTGATTTCCTTATGTTTCACATACGAAAATAGAGCGCGTCCTATTCGGAAAAAATACATATGTAATTGCATATCGTTTTGACACATTGAAATTTCCGTATGTTTCACATGACGAGTTCGATTTCCATATGTAAAAAAGTGACAGCACATATGTAAAATACATATCGTGTAAAAACACCATTATTTTGGCGCAAATCAAATGCTTTCTTGAATCAGATGTTTATTTGCTTAATCTTACTAAATGTTGTCTGTTTACTTTTCTCAGTATTATCGCAAAAAGAGTAAAAAGGGCTTACTCTATGGACTAGAACTTACTGAATAAATGTTACTGGAAAAGTAACCAGACAAACCTAATATTGGACTTCTTATACTTCTAGGAATTCTGTGTTCTTAGTGAAGTCCCTTACACTTTTCCATTCACACCCCCCATAGGTCGGTTAGGTCATGGATAGTGTTATTTCCCAAGCATTTGCAGTTTCATAGGAAATGTTCCAGCGTTTCGTTGTCTTCCTCATACGCTCTATACCAGCTGCAGTTATAGAATTAACTTGCTTGTTTACTATCCGTCATTATATGTATTGTATCCTGACCAGAGTCCAAACTTAACCAGTTTAAGCATATCCGCATGTAGGACCGTTATCTTATCTTGCATGCGAAGTGAAATTTTTGTTCTCGTCCCAGTTCCGATTTTCTAACTAGCCGGGAGCCATTTGTGTAACAACAGTTGCCAGAGGGCATTTGTGCAAGTGGTCCGACTCAAAACTTTTGATTGAGGATCTGATATCAATTGGGTATATGCTCCAGATAATTGATTCATCTTTGTTGTGAGCTTAGCGATATCCGTACTTCCTGTACCATCTTATCATCACACTCCGGCATTCTTAGATGGTTATGTTTGTCTTACTTTCGTGTTCAGACTCGGTATGTGATTTAGTTTCTAGTTTTAGCTCGCGGCTTTGCCGATATATTTAGCTATACCAAAACGTAAACAGATACATCGGATTATAAATTTTAAAAAACCTTCGAGTAGTAGCAATCTATGATCAAAGTATACGGACATGTTTAGAAAAGTACCTGCGTATAATGACTATAGGTTAATTGTATAATTGTACCGGGCGATTGTTGTAAACGATAATCTACACCAAATACAAATTTCAGCAATTTTTAATGGAGACTGGTTTTAAATCTCAAACCCCCAAAACGTGAACCGATATTGAAAACGCATGGTAGGGAGGGACATGTGTATGAATTCCTTGAAATACTGCAATTTAAAGGGCAAATTTATATGAGATTATCCCTGGAGACTATACCTAAAACGGGACCAATATTGATTACATTGTGTAGAAATTACCGAACATTTGGAGTTATCATTATTTAGGTGCTGTGTTTAATTGGGGACCGATATAGATCAGTTTCAAACTTGAAACTTTTGCATCCTTCACGCTAAATATTAAAAATACCAAACTTCCGTAGAGATCATTATATGGGGGCTAGACCTATATAGTTCGTTCTCGAACCTGATGTTCTAGTTTTTTTATCTCAATATCCTCCGAAGGTAAAATGATTACAACTGATGGCTAAATTGTCAAAGTAGTCGAAGAATTCTATAATGTGTAGGGTATAAAGTATATGGGTACCAGCCTAAAACGCTGAATAAATCGGTTAACTGTTAATATAAAAAGGGAAAATTGAGTACTTTTGGGGGCTAACCAAAAAAATTACATATATTTATAATTTTCACTGTGGAGTACAGTTATATGGGAGCTATGACTAAACCTGGACAGATATAGCTCATCTTCGAACTTAACCTGCCTGCAAACGAAAGAAAACTCTGTGCAAAATTTTGACGATTTATTACAATTCCTCTAGAGTCTGGAGTGATTACAACAGACAGGCGTGAAGAAGGGAAAATCGTCATAGAATTTTATTCTGCTCCCGAATATATCTACTTTATAGCGTCGAAAACGATTATTTCGACCCTATGCTGGAGGGTATAAAAATATTTCTTGGGCTCCGTTGGAACATAGCATATATGTATTTGCAATGAGATACAGTGTTGTATTTTTGTTTTTAGGACAACAGCGACATCTTTTGTTTATGCATCCAAACTATTTTGGTTGCATTGCTTGTACCCGGATCTTGGCAACCCTTGCATAAATTTTTGTTTGTCATATTAACAAAATCTTTTTTTGTTGAGTACAGAGACGACCATTACTAAAAGAATTTTTATTGCCGATTGTTATTTAAAACGAAAACGCTGCAACAAACAGAACTGTCGAGTGCGTTGTTTTTTTGTGCTGTTCAGAAAAAAAAGAAAGGAAGAAATAAAAAACAGTTGAAGTGAAAAAACAATAATTATTGTAACAAAAAAAGAAATAGAGAGCACAATTCGGTTAAAGACTCCTCCAATAATTTAATTACGCATTAACAAAAAAGATAAAAAAACGCAAAGTTAATTCCCTGTTGAATTGTGAAATTAGCTGTTTTTCCCTCGTCTAGAAGAACAAAAGAAGGAAGTTCTCGTCAAAGTTTTGGTGAATTTTCACAAATTACATATTAGAACAACAACAAAAACAACTGAAAAATGTTTAATAAAACCTCCATTTTCCTGCTGCTATCAACGGCCTGCTTGTTAACAGGTAATTTAATAATAATGCAATAACACCAAGTTTGTTTCTAATTCTAGAATCTGGAGACGAATTGCAAACAAAATGCTATTAGTTCGGTCTATTGCACTTGTCGTCGTCGTTAGCAGTTCTTTGTTTGTCAGTCAGTTTTTTTTCTATTGCTGTTAATTATCAAATTTACCTCTTCCATTTTGTTGTGTGACGGCGGTGTTGTTGTTGAACGTCATTCGGGATTTCTAATATTTTCGCTTTGTATGCCTCTTCTTTCATATTTGCTTGCTTGCAATGTAACAACAAGCAAATAGAGGTGGAAACAATTTCTTTAATTATGGAAATATATGTAACCTTAAATACCTAACAATAACAACAACAACTACAGCAACAAAGCCAATGATGATGAATCAGCTGATCGTCTGGTGTTTGTTGTGTTGAATAGAAATGGGGGAATAACCTTTAAAACGAAGCTTTTAAATTTTATTCCCCTCAGATTTATATTCCAAAGGGATAAAGGGAAAAAGTTAAGATTAGGGGCTCCACTCGGATCGCTTTGAAATTTGTACTGTAAGTAGTCCTCGTTGAGCTGATTACAGTGATACTTTCCGAGGAGATATGGACGTTGAAAGTTCGGAGCATACTTTGTTTAAAATAGACGTTTTCCTATTGCCACCAAGGTAATACCATCATTATGACGTCAACGTTTCCTCGAATGGAGATTATTACAGACCAATAGCTCCGCCTCCCGTTTTATCGAATGTTGTGGAATATGTTTTAAAAACAGCTAGATAATTATTTGGAGAAAAAAAAAATGCTTAATGATTGCCAATCCGGCTTTCAAAGTCATCGAAGCACGGCTATGCTACTAGTGGTCTTAACAGACTTAACAGACTATAAGAAGAAATCTTTCTGAGCATAACGTTTCAATAAAAAAGCCTTCGATAGGATTGACTATAAAATGTTAACAGGAAATTTAATAAATTTCTATGGCTTCAGCACAGATATATAAATTAATATATTCATATTTAACTGAAAGATATCAATGTATTTCTATGAATTGTATTCTCTCTGATTTATTGCCTGTTAAAAGCGGTGTTCCTCAAGATTCGATCTTGGGCCCAACGCTTTTGATTATGTTTTTAAACGATTTATTCCAAAATATTCGTCCATGTTGTTCTCCATATTCATATGCAGATGATATACAACTGTTATTTAAAGCATCTATAGACAATCCCGATACCCTTATAGCTACATGAATGGATGAATTCCAACCGGCTAATTGTTAATCGTACGAAGACACAAGCTTTGGTTTATCCCAGTTATGCTAAATCTAATTTGTCGCTGACTTATAGCTGTCAAGTTATTGATATCGTCAGTAGCATAAGATGCCTTGGCATACTTATTGATGATAAACTAACATTTGACAGCCATCTCGACAATGTTGTAACCCACACGCATTTAACATTACGCCAACACTGCGTACAAAAGTTACAAATGATACATTCTCTAATTATGTCTCACATATACTGTATTGAAATTTTCTCCCGCACAACTAAAACGAATATGAAAAGAATCAAAATTTGGATTTATCGAGTGGTTCGTTATATTTATTCACTTAAAAGCCCAATTAAAACTATTTAAAGATGTCAGCTCCTCTTAAGCTGAGGAACTTCAACTTCATCGCTAAAATCCTTGGGACAACTTACTTCCAACCCTATTAGAGTCGTCTCGGTCATACCAATTGTGAATTCCTCCGATTCGCTGTCATCTGTTGACTTAGTTGGATCATACAGCTGACCAGCGAATCGGAATTGAAGGAAAGAGGGTTTTCTGATTTGCTCGGCAACATCTCAAGAATATAAATTTCCGAATATTACAATTAAAAAATATTTTACGACGGTTATATATAGAAAGAGATCCCTTGAGATGGCGCCATAACCTCTCAATTGTGTTGGTATGCTGTCCCAATTCAGGATCAACAAATTTTTTTTTCATTTATTTCAATTTTAACATGTATAACGAAGCCTTTAGCCAATAAATGTAATACATTATGCAAAACAGTATGATTTAACTACTCAAACCAATTTAGACGAAAGTGTGTTTAGCCCTCCTCCGTCAAATTATCATAAGCCTAAAAAAAATAATATTAATAATTACTTTTCATTTATCTCCAAAGACTCTCCTTCCAATAATCTGACACTGTGACAGATCCAGGCCGAATGTACTTTTTAATAATTGGAATAAGTGTGTCTCGACCTATTTCCTTCACAGGAACAATAAACTGCCCTCTTACTGCCCCTCTTTACCTCACTAAATATCCATTGTCCTTCCACAATCTAAGATTCGTCTATTTCGACGGTTACTCAAGGGATCCCTTGAGGTGTGCGCCATAACCCCTAAATTGTGTTGGTATGTTGTCCCAATTCAGGATCAACAAAACAAACTTTTCAATCATCTCTCAAGACTCACTTTCCAATAGTGCGAAACTATAACAGATCCATGCTGAATGTACCTTTTAACACTAGAACGCCGAAGGCGGTCATTTTGACCCCTTTCGAATTTCAAGTACAAAAGCTACTGTGCATTTAATGACACTTTTTTTTAAAATTTGGTGAATTTTTTATAATAAACGTAATTCTATGAGGTACAAAAAGTCACCATATTTTAAAAAAAAAAGTGTCTTTAAATGCACAGTTGCTTTTGTACTTGAAATTGGATAGCGGTCAAAATGACCGCCTTCGGCGTTCTAGTGTTAATAATTTGATAATGTTACTGTGTAATCATACGGCCTTAACTGCAACGTATGTCCCTTCGGACATTTCAAAATACCAAACGGATGGGCACCAATTTGCTAATTTTGTTGTTCTCCTCCTACCAATATGTAATATAGATTTAATTATCGGAGTAAGGCCCCATTATTATGTAATTTTATTTTCATTTATCAATCTCATTAAATGTAATTTGTATTTCGAGTTCTCATTGAGACGAAATCTTCCTCCACAAAAATGATCAATATTGATCCTTTTTTTAGAGTAGCAACAGCAACTGATAATAGCTCCCATATGTCGGCACATTAGGGCTTTTTGATCTATTTTTTCTATCGAAATGACTTTAATTTGGTATTTTGGGTTCTCATTGGGTTACAAATCTTCAATATTGGTCCATTTATTAGGGTAGTCCCCATATAACTGTACCATCCAAATTATAATAATTTGAGGAGTTTGAGAGCTAGCAAATTTGTATTTTGGATTCACATTAGATGGAAAATTCCCTACAGAAAATAAATGTCCATGTTTCTGGACCTGGCATAAAAATACCCTAATTCTGGCATATCCTGGCATAAAAATAGCCTAATGTAGCACCGATCGATTGTAGGTATTTTGAATGTGCATCTCATGTTGTAGTGCGTATAAACATTATAAAAAATACTTTTTAGACTCAGTGACCCAGCTGACGCTTTATTAATTATCAAATTTTTGAAATGGCGGAAGTTTCTAATGTTGTTAGTTTCCATTTAACCTAGCTTTTACTTTTATTTTAAAAATCATCTAGTTTTTTGTCACGTTTTTTGGGTTTTGCATAAAAAAATTGAATATGAAATCTAAATTGTAATATTTTGTTGGATATTGCCCGATTTTTTTAATAACAAAAAATTGCCAACAAGACCAATACCAATGCTGTTTTTTTTACAGCCCCCAGATTGTTGTGATTATTATTCGCTTCTTTCTATTTGTGTTTGTTTTTTCTTTCGACCAAATTATTTTTGTTGTTCATTTCTATTTGTTGTTGCATTTTTTTTTCTCCTCCAAATAATCAACAAAGTGTGTTATTCGTCTCAACTCTTCTAAACACTTCTCCGACAAACAATAACAAATAAACTAAGAAGAAGAATATAAAAAATAAATGAAATAAATAACAAACACACATATAAACTATTGATGTTTGCAAAATAATGACAAAAAATTAATAAAACGACAACAACAATATTTCCAGTTATTTATTTATATAATTTTTGCATGTTTGTCATAATAATTTCTGTTTTATTGTTTTTATACAAAATCAAAAAAAAAAAATGTTTGTTTTTTCTACAGGTCAATTAGTGGGGAATACTTTCTCGTTCAGAGTTGTTTCTGTTTCAACTAAAAAAACAACAATTTTTAACTCGATTGTATGCATTTTGAGAATTAAATTTTTATACTCAATAATAAAGAGGAAGGGTATACATTTTGTATACCAATTTCAACACCTAACTATATTGGCTTTTTGATTGTCATTGCCTAAAAGTGGCAATGCATGGACAAGAACTTAACCCTTTACCACACTGTGGTACAGGGTATTATATATATATATGGGCAATATTGCCAATTTTTTAACATAGCTGAAGCGGAGGTTCACCCCTTTATAACTCGGGAACTACTTAAGTATATGAAAAAAGTGAATAGTTTTGGGTTAATTGATCTGTCGTTGCAAACTGTTTATGATATTGACCTCCAAACTTTATTTTTGTGGAAGCTGTGTCTACTTTAATGTAAAAAAATGTGTAAAAACAGGTTGAGGCGAACCAGTTTTTTTTATGTTCTCTATCGATTTGTGACTAAGCCACTCATTGCACGGTCTTCGTGTCAAAATAAAACAAGAAGCCAACAAAATGGGGACTACGCCCCTTATGTATCATTTTTCAAAATTTTAACTGCATCTACCTTTAAATAATGCTGACATTTTGAAGCTCGATTTTGAGTGTTTTTTGAATTTTAGTTCTAGCATTAATACGCGAACAGGAATTTCTAAAAATCGATTATACGATTATTGTAGTCGCGAATCTGCGTAATTTGATATGTAGTTTGTATATGTAGTATGCACAGCTTCAGAGTAATACTCATCCGAAGGTGCGAATTTTGTGCGATCAAATTTCTAAAAAACCTATTTTTAGGGCCAAATTTTTAGATCTGTCAACTGAATGATATGGGTACCCGCGATCAATAAGGTTTTTTACGTTTCGGATGATATAAAATCTCCTT